TGTTAAAATGCGTTGAAATTTGTTAAAAATAGTTTGTGAGCAGGATTGACGCTACAGTTTTCAAACGATTCTGATGAAACTTGGTGTGATCATTGGAATTGATAAGATCTCGGACAAGTTTTACCTTGATGCATTTTTGATGAACGGTTTTTGAGTTATTGCCCTTGACTTTGTAAAAACGGGTCAAAATTTGTTTGTGAGCACAATAGAAGCTACAGTTTTCAACCGATTCTGATGAAACTTGGTGTGATCATTGGAATTGATAAGATCTCGGACAAGTTCTAACAAGAGATATTTTTGATGAACAATTTTTTGAGTTATTGCCCTTGACTTTGTAAACATGCGTCAAAAGTTGTTTTTTGCCCTTGATTAGAGCTGTGTGATTTAATTGTTTGTTGTATTTGGGTTATTGATATTGATTTTAAAAAATTTTGTGGAAATATTCAGCATAAATAATTTCTTCAATATGAGAAAATTCGTACTTTAGTCACTAAAGACTGTTTTATTATTTCTGACAGCTACCAGTGGGCATATGTTAGCTTGCATTGCAAGCTATCTTATTTAGAGTTATCTACCATGTCGGCAGATGCTTATCCCCATTTTCCTGGCTATCTTTTGTGGCCTCAAACCATGTGTGTTTTTCAAACTTTGAACGTTGTCAAGCACTTGATGAATGAATAACTAATATAATACTAATTTTTAATTGTAGGTCAGTACAGCAGTAAATCCTGATAATTTAGTACCTAAATCTCGTCCAATAGAAATCTGGATTATAGCTGTATCAATATCAGCAGGGTTATTAGTCTTATTATTATTAATAATTCTACTCTGGTGGGTAAGTATCTACTCGATACATTTCAATATATTTCTCTGGAGGCAGATAAAACTGCAAGTGATGAAGCTGGGGACACAGATGTTCAGGTTTGATTCTGGTATGAGTTGAAATTGTATTGGTGGTTCAGCATTGGACACAAATGTAAATGTTGAAAATTTTATGTTCTTGAACTGTAAAACACCATTACAATTTCAAGAACATGAAATTTTCAACCTTAACCTCTGTAGTTCAGAATGGAGGACTAGTCTTACTACCAATTACAATGGAGGGGAAAGGAAAGAACTGAAGCTAGTGTTTTTCAGGCTGATTCTGGTAGAAAGTACACATTAAATATATCTTACTTTACTTTGTACATCATGCTGGACACAGTAACAGTAATACTAGGGGCATCCTGTGTGTTAATACAAAAAGATGCATATGCTACATCATTAATATTCATGTTATAAATAAACCAAGTACTAACAATTATAGCTAGTATATACCATCATTATATTTGGTACTTACATATTCAAAAACACCACATGCATATGAATCATATTGAATATATTTTAAATCATTTCAAATGATTATATTTCAGTGTGGATTTTTCAAACGACGAAAGCCAGAAGATGATGGATATATGATGACAAACGGTAAACACGATATTGCCGATAAGGAGTGGGAATAAATCACCATAGCAACCATAATATCATTGTTCATGTGACAATTTATACCGTCCAAATTTTTTGCTTGTGAAAAAATATCTAAAGCAAATAGTTCTGATGATACAAAATTTTGAATTTGTGTGTTCTGATTGGTTAAATCAATGACACTGCCAGAACTAACCAATCAGATTCAGTATAAGTAATTTGAATTGGATACTAGCAAAGTGTTTGAAAGTTGGTCATTTGAAATCCATGCTAATAGTTCATATTTATATAGATCTAGTCAGAATGTGACCAAAAGATATTAAGTAATCAATAAAAAGAGGTTCAGAGGCCCAACTTTCATTATAATATTATACAAGTTACATTTAAAGAGCAAACTTAAAGTAATTGATCTTTTGGTGTATATTTACGGTGTATTTTGGGCAAAGATAAAGTAAAGATTTGGCATATACAAAGTGCAAATTAAAGGTTACGAAATTTTTAATATCTCATCTTTTGGTGAAATTGCTAAATATATAACAACAAGTGTTAAGGTGATATGAGTCAATGGTCTTATTTGTCTCATTACTCTAAATTTGACAGGAGAATGAAAGTTGGTACCTCTGCTGTCTCAGGAGAGAAAAGAAATCTCAAACATTCCACATTCAAATAACAATGATGTGGTTTCCATTCATAATACTTCTTCATTCTTAACATTTAACAAGTCTTTTTTCTGGAAGACATAGGAAACTTTATACTTTCACATTTTAAATCAACCCTGTGTTATCATTTTATAATTTATTTATTTAAGAAAAAGAAAAACCACAACCTGAACCTGAAAAATTTTAAAATTTTTCACTTTATATTCACATTTAGTAAGTCATTTAGTAAGTCATATTTGAGGGTTATTTAGGACTTCTTACATTTTCAAATTTTTTTCATTTAATTTGGTTGTTTCTTTTTTTATTGACTAACATAAGTGGTTTGAAGTTTGGTTACAATGAAATCCTCCACTGCCAAAAAGTACTCTTACTATCTAGCAAGGCTGACATAGTGCAGCATTTGTTATTAAACAGTTTGTCATTTTGTGAGCTCATACATACATCTATTTTGTATAGTTTTCGTTATGTATGGACAGAAGAGCGCATTTAAAAATGAATGTAAGGGAGATGGGGTTGAAATCTTCCTCCGTGTCGACTTTCAGAGGCACTGGCTGTGGCATTAGAATTGTTCTAACCTTGAGAAGGAATCAACACACAGCACCTAATCAACAAGCAGATGGCAATCCAACTTGTTACCGACCTAGCTATGTCACTGAATTGAGCTTTGCTTCAGTTGATTTGAAATGTAATGTTACCAGTACCAAAAGCAAATGGTATTGAAATGATGCTAAAAATCAAGTTTTTATTTATTCTATGCAACTAATTGTTACATTGTTGAAGTTTTGTACAGAATTAATTTGGTGCTAATATTTTTTGAACTGGAAGGGAAATTTAACTTGTTTTTTTAAGATTCACTCACTTTTTTTTTATATTGTTTCTTGTTAAACGGGGTATTTGGAAATTAACAGATTTATTTAAGATTATTCTAATTTGTTAGTTGGTTTGAAAATAATTGGTTTTTAATTTGGGTAGTAAAAAGTTTTGGTGTAATGTTTAGAAATGCTTTTCTTTTGTTAATGCAAAATATGACTCTGACTATGCAATCATATGAAATACCATGTATCGAAAATCAAAATTTCATTAATCAAGTTACTCAGCCCAAGTGAAAAAAGATAAGATATTTTTTAACACCTATGGTATTATTGTGATTACAAGGTAATAATTATAATCAAGACTACCAGTCATACATTTATATTGGGGCCCTGCTGACCATCAAAATTTCATCTCAAGTTGATGGTAATTTGATCAAGACCTTATTACTGGGTTAAATAAATATAGCAACTTCATGAGTTAATTTTATTTAATTTTTTCAATTTAGGTGCTTAATCCAAAATGGAACAAACCATTGTCATCATAAACAACATCATTACGTCATGGACATTCGTGTCTCGTCATTGTTTATATTCTAAATTTTGCAATTTCTGTCAGAAAGTTACAAGCTAAGAATTAGGTTGATTAGAAAGCGATGTAGATTGAATGGGAAATAATTTTGGAACGTACTTATGTCAGAGATTACAATCTGAAACAAATCAAAACACATCCAACCAACTAGTTCCCAGTACAGTAGCCATCTCATTGCCTGTGGAAGAAACTGCTGGTCTATATTACTCATCTGGTCATAATAATACCATCGCCATAATGTTTTGTTTCATCATTTTTTTTTAGAATTTAGTTCAAGATATTAGGATATTTAATTTGCTTTTTGTTTGAGTTTTGGTAGAGCGAGTGATTTTAACATCCCCTCCTTTTCATTGTGTCCTCAAGAAAATTGATTGCTCTCAGAGGGTGTGATAAAACTGAATTATACAGAAGAAAACAAAGATTGAATACTTGTTTGCAGCCTCAGTTATACATGTAGGTACTTCCTTAAATAGTTGCAAAATTGCTGACAGGTCATGAAATATATAGTTTAAAAATTACTTACAAAACTGGATGGTCATAAATTCCGACACATCCTTGGAATCTTCAGGAACGCTATCAGGAGCAGACTTCCATTATAGGAAATTAGAACAGACACAAGATTGAATATCTAAGGAAGGGGTGTTGAAATATAGATTTCATAATGACCATATATATATATATTTAGTAATTAACAATTGTAATTAATTCTATAGCTTTTTAGTTATTTATTTAAGTCCCATTAGTCATTAAATGGAAAACAGATTCTTTTAAGTCATCACTGAAACCTACCATATAAAACTAGTGCTCAATGTCATTGAAGATATTCCAGTGGGTATTTTCCAATCACTATCTTGAATAAGACCATGCTCAAATGGGTTAATTTAATTTTTAATTAAGAATGATAAATTTCGTTCAATCTTGTTGACGAACAAAATTATTACTAAATCCTTTCTCCAATTGATCAATAATATATATATTTTTTAGGATATTCTGATGAAGTGTACTTATTCAATAATTCTTGTTTTTGAACTTGTTAAAAAAAAACAGTTGGTTTTCAAATTTGTTTCACCATGACATTATCCCTAATTTTAAGCTCCATTGATTTAAAAGAAATCTGTATCTGAAATAATTTGTATATTTGTATATTTTAACCCCAAAATATTGTTTATTATTGTAACTATAGTAACCATTGTATAAAAACCAAAATAACCATAATATTGTTTTTTTATATTTGTTTGTGTGAAAGTTGTGTATGTTTTTCTGGTAATATAATTATTGCTTATTATGAAGAATCATGCTTTTTAAAATTGTAAATACAAGCTGTTAGGGTCAACAATAAGCTTTGTGCTTAGCAAATTATTTTCAAAAATTGGAAAAAAAGATTTATTTTGTGCTTCCATCTGAATGCAGGATCTACACAATATGGTGTAAACCACAAGCAGAAATCTTGTTTCTTTTTTTTAATTTAAAGTTATAGAAGATTGACATATATTGTGTTTTCAAGACATTCAAATTCAGTAATTGCTGTACTTAATACTCAAATTTGCATATGTGACAGTGATCTGTCTGTAAGCTTCTTTTATTGAATTTTATTTATCTACTCACTGATTGATTAGAATTTTCTAAATTTCTGATTTGACTTGCAAAATATTCAACCTTATTTGAATAGTGACATCAGGTCAGGTGTTCCATAAGGGTAACACAGTCTGCACTTCAAGTCTAGTTATTGTTGAGCTAGTTGCAGAACCTTCTCCCACTTATATAACACCTGGTGTCACTCAGCATGTTTGTTTGTATTGACTGATGTCAATTGTACTTCTATTTGGTATGTTACAGGACTCTCCACCTTATGTAACTCATCAAATATGATGATTTTAGACTTTACAACTTTTAAAAATTCTCTTCAAATATATGGCTTGACTTGTTAGATCTCAGACATTGTTGTGATGAGAATATTTGTATGTAGACAAAGGAAAACTTGTATTTGAATCACTAAAATAAATATTATTTATATTTATTTTTGATTGTGTTTAATTTGTTCTCTAGGTTGTAGGATGATGATCTTCAATCTTTCTGCTTCAGGACTACATACAGAAATACATTAACGTGACTCATTATGAAAAAAATACTATTTAAATCAAGTGAATAAATTTAATCAATTGAATCATACTGTCAACCAAGTGACTCATTAATATACTCATCATGTCAATCAATACACTTGTAATATTTTTAAATACGACACTCTATTATAATTCCACAATTGGACCTTATTCATACATCATTTATTTTATGTATAAAAACATCAAAAAAACTTTTACAATTAACACCATGGAAGTATTGCATTTTCCCTCTATTACTCTAACTTTTTTAACTCACTGACAGGAGAGCTATATATTACCTCCCTTCTTATTTCAAGACTACATAAAACTTAAACTCATTACAGAACACACTCCCCCCTTATTGACAGAGATCAATAATCTCAGATACTGAATGTCTTATAATAAATAATAATAAATTAGAGGTTTGACGCCTCAAAATACTTAACTCTATACTCTTAAATAAAAGCTGAACTCTATTTCCTAAAATGCTTAACTCTGACTTAAATCGAAATCTAATATACAGGACTCATCATCCCTTACTAATTCTACAGGGTACAATTTCTGAATAGGACGGTTTAAAGTTATTATCTTGCCCCGCTTGTTCTGAACTCTAACAACAACTGATCTAATATTATTATCGCGACCTTGTAAGGTTCTAATGACTACTCCCATTTCCCAATTTAAACGAGGGACTTTATCCTCGTATATTAATACAACATCACATTCTTTAACAAGAGGACCCCTTTTAACACATGAACGATGATGCTCACGTAATTCTGTTACGTACTCCCTTTTCCACCTTGTCCAGTAATGCTGCAATAACTTTTGAAGATAATTCTTCCTTTTAAATGAATCAGTGGCTTTGTTACCAAATATCTTTTGATCAGTTTCCATTGAAGGTTCTGTTTGAATTGTGTCCCAAAATTAGATGTGATGGAGTAAGCGGTTCCATATTGTCATCACTCACATAAGTAAGTGGACGAGAGTTCAACACACCTTCAATATCAATAAGCAAGGTTAATAATTCTTCATAAGAAAGTCTGGCGTTTCCCAATGATTTCTTCAAACAGCGCTTCATGAAACGAACCATTCTCTCAAAAAAACCTCCCCACCAGGGTGAGCGTTCTACATTAAAATTCCACTTAATATTTTTACCATTTGCAAAAGCAGTAAGTTCTGAACTCTTAAACGTCTTTCTGTTGTCGGATATAACGAGCCCGGGAATCCCTCTCCTTCCAATAAATCTACGGAAACTTCTTAAAAATGCTGAAGTGCTAGCATCAGGCGCTAAATCTAAATGCACAGCTCTGCTACTGGCACATGTGTACAATACTATAAACACCTTGTTCATGTCACCATTGTTAGAGTAAATGTCCTTGACATACAAAGGGCCAGCATAATCAACACCTATATTTGAGAATGCATGATCATCAGAAAGTCTGAACTGAGGCAATGGCGGTGAAACAGGTACACCATAAGACTTCCCTTCTAATTTCTTACAAGGAATACATCTTGAAATCTCTGCTCTCACAATTTGTCTCCCACGTCATATCCAATACTTTTGTCTTAATTGTACTAAGGTTTCAGTAGGACCGTTGTGATGAACATCTAAATGACATTTTGTAATAATTAGTTTTGTGAAATGATGATTTTCTGGAAGGTATATAGGAACTTTTGCAGCTACAGGTACATTAGCAATACCAATTCTTCCAAAACATCTCAGTATTTGGTCATCATCATATTTCAAATTAAGAGAAACCTTCTGCTGCTCAAATTTAGGTCCATGTAAACATTTTTGTACATCTTTGTACCACAACTTCTCAGCTTCATTAATTTCCGCCTTTGATAGTTCCTTTTCATTATCATCATTAGATCTACACCTCCTAATAAAACGAAGAACATAAGCTGTAACTCTAAAAAATTTATTAATATTACTGTAATCTGTAACCTCAATAAGACTAGAAATACCAGGTATTACTTCTACATTTGCTACACAGGAACTGGTCTTCTTCACTTCGGTCAAATATTCTTCTTCTAAATTTTCAGTTTCTTTGGAGTTATGTCCCTTCGTTTCTAACCATTTATCCTGAAATTCCATCAAAAAAGAAGGACCATGCCACCAAAGAACATTATTTGACAAATCTGCCGCATTACAAAATCTTGAACAAATATCTGCAGGACTGTTAAAAGTTTGACAATAAAACCAATTATGAACATTTGAAGATTTAGGAATTTCTATCACTCGATTGTTCACAAATTGTTTAAATTCTCTGTTTGAATTTTTAATCCATGCTAAAGCAACTTGTGAATCTGACCAATAATACACAATAGGGTCTATAATACCCTTTAAGGCTTCTGTTACACACAAGGATAACCTAACAGAATTAAACATGCTAGTAGCTCGAGTCTAGGTACAGTCTGTTTCTTTAAAGGCGCTACATGTGTTTTGGATGCAATTAAGTTACAGTGTATTTTACCAGTATCTGAATGAACACATCTTAAATAAACACACGATCCGAAGGCTTTCTCAGATGCGTCTCCAAAAACATGTAATTGAATTGAATCAGCAGTAAGGAGTTCAGAACAAACATTGCGTTTTACACCTAAATATTCTACTTGTGACAAACTTAATACTAAATTATTCCAATAATGACAAAATTTACTATCCAAGGGATCAACTTAAATCATTATTACACAATGTTTGGAGACATAATTTAAATAATAAAACTACTGGTGATATCAATCCTAAATGATCAAAAAATTTAGCAGTTATACTCAAAACAGTTCTCTTTGTAACTAAATCAGTTGACACACATGATAAAATCTTATCAAAATCAAATTGAAAAATATCAAACTTGTTATCCCATTTTTGACCAAGTACACTATTACTGTGATTTACATTCTGAACAAATTCAGAATAACCTCTTTCATCTTCTGCTATTTTTAACTCTAAACTATTGATATTTTGCTCAACTTTAGGAAATACAGGGCTCTCTCTTAACATAGTCATAAGCTCAGATGAATTACTACACCATTTTCTCATATTGAACCCTCCTTGATTCAATTTTAATTTTACTAATTTGCACAAATCAAAAGCAGAATTTACATCTTCTGTGCCACATGCAAAATCATCAACATACAAAGAATCATTTATCTTATTCAAAATGTCTTTATCATCTAAACAATTTTTTAAATGAAACGAAGAGTGGCATTTAAAATAAAGGGACTAGACGTCACTCCAAATACCACCCTATTAAATCTAAACACTTTAATTTGCGGATTATCACTTAGAGGGTTATCTACCCATAAAAACCTTAAAAAATCCCTATGACTTTCATCAATGCTTATATTCAAGAATGCTTTTTGAATATCTGCAGTAACTGCAACAGGAAACATATGAAAGCGAAGTAAAATGTCAAATATCAAAGGATTTAAGGATGGCCCAGCGTACAAATTATCATTTAAACTATAACCATTAGCTTTACAAGAAGCATCATATACAACTCTCAATTTAGTTGTCTCTTTATCCATCCTTACAACTTCTCTATGCGGAATATAGTGTATATAACCTGGTTTTTTGGTATCAAATTCTTCATTACCGGTAACATGATCGATTATGCCTTCTTTTAGTTGACCCTTAACAATCTTATCATATTCTACAAGAATGTCAGATGTTTTCTTAAGTCTAAATAATAATGAAGTTAATCGTTTAACACATGTTGCATAGTTATCGGAAATGAAGGGATTTGACTCTTTAAAAGGTAAAGGCTCTTCATTAAAACATATATTTTCTTGAAAATTATTATGAACATTTGACTCATCACTACAAATACCAAGGGATTCTAATTCCCAAAATTTACTTAATTCTGATTTGACAGATGAACCATTATTAATTTCTGTATCAATATGTAAAACATGAGTTTGAGATAAATTGACAGTACTATGCTCATTATCATTTGAATATTTAACCACAGGGCCTGATAAAACCCAGCCTACTTTAGACAACATAGCAACAGGACCTTGATACTCCCCTCGTCTAGTTTCCCCACAGAAGAAATTCCAGTAAAAATCTGCTCCTATCAAAATGTCTACCTTGAATTCAGAGGAATCTAATGAATTTGCTAATCTTAACCCATGCAAATGAGGATAATTATTGACAGCTCTACTAGTACACTGATCACTTATTGGCTTGCAAATTGAAGGAACACAATAACCATTAACAACTAACTCTACTCCATCATTACAAATAACAACAAATTGTACAAGGTCACATTGCCTTAGTTTGGGAACATCTTCACCAAATGTCTTTACAAGTAAATTTTCCTGCCTAATTACTTTTAAATTAAAAAGATCTTTAGTTTCCTTAGACACATAAGTTCGTTGACTACACAAATCAAATACTAAGTTTCTATTTATCCCATTAAAATCCCCCCTGACATATGCAACAGCAGTTTGTAACAAAATAGAATTTGTGTCACTTAAATCAACAGTCATGTTTGATGAAACACTTTGATCTGGCTGCTTAAGATTATGCGAATTATAATTTTTACTCTGATTTGTCTGAGATGTGCATATAGCTTTATTGTGTCTATCACCACAATTAAAACATTTATAATCTTTGTTTGGACAATTTCTAATAATATGCCCAGATTTCAAACACAAAAAACACTTGGCCTTTCTCCTCAAAATAGATTTTCTTGCAGACACATCTGTAACTGTTTGACAGTTCACTGGCAAGTGTTGCTGTCCGCAAAATACACAAAATGGTACACGATGGTGATCACTGGAGCCACTAACTAAAGTTGATGCAGTTCTATTTTTATACTGAAGTCTGTAATGACTGGTACTTGTAGTTTTTGTAGAACTGCTCTTCATAAGCCCAATATTTATTCTCTCTCTAGCTTCTACTTCTCCTTTCATAATTTCCAAAACATCTTCTATACACCAATTATCTAAACCTCTGCTAATCTCATACGGAAGTCTGCTCATAATTATTGGAATGAGAACACTACCATATGAATCAGATTCTATTCCTAATGACTTTAAATTTCTTATCTGGACCTCTATCACATCATACAGTTTTCTCAAACCTTTTACATTTGAATCATCTGTTACTGCTTTTAAATTAATGAGTTCTTCAACATGGGAAGAAATAGACATTTGCTTGTCTGCAAACCTGTCATTTAACAGCTTCACTGCATGATCATAATTGGCATCTGTAAGCTGCAGTCCATCTATGCATGCTGCAGCAGATCCATCCAATAAACTTTTTCAACCTTAGAAGCATCACTTTGACCAACAGCTGCCTGGAAACTATCCCAAAAAGATGCCCATTTCTTATGTTCACCTCCAAACCTGGGTAATGTCAACTTTGGTAATTTAATTTTTGAAGAAACTGGAACAGGCCTAGTATCAACAACTGACGAGATCACATTTTGAGAGGCTGGATTTGCCGCTGGAACCTCTAATGACAATTTAATTTTCAAAACAGTTCTATTGATCTCATCTGAAAATTCACTGGCTTCTACTATATCAGTAATAATTTCTTCTTCATCATTCATCAATTCTAAAATCTTGTCATTATAAGAATCGATAATTGCTTTCTTTTCCACCAATGAAATTCTGCAGCCTTCCAGATTCTCATATTCACCTGACGAGAATATATCAGTTCCACCCAGAGCAGTGTAAACAGTATGCATAATTCTTCTAGCAAAAGATCTATGACCACCTCTTATTTTTCTGTACCTTTTAAATTTTATTGCTGGTGAACTAGTTTCAACAGCTTCAGCTGTCTTATCATTGTCTGTTCCACTCATTTTAAAAAACCATCAGATTTTAACAACAAGAAAATCAAAAGTTCACTGACTCTAACAAAATCGTTCTCAGACTACCAAATTACTTTTCGGTCGACTGGCACATGAACTGTACTCTTCTAAATTGTTTCACTCATCCGTCTCGTCGGACCATGTAATATTTTTAAATACGACACTCTATTATAATTCCACAATTGGACCTTATTCATACATCATTTATTTTATGTATAAAAACATCAAAAAAACTTTACAATAA